AAATGTATTTATCTATTAATTTACAATCAAATTTTACAGACAAGCTCATAGGATAAGCAAAGGTCAACCAAACCAAAATGGCCGCTATTCATCGTGAACCAAAATTAATCAAATATTTACTGCATCGTTGCATAGAAAGATGTTTTCATTGGTCACGAAATCAGCCAAAATGTAAATAGTTATTCTTAGAAAGTATTTATTGAATCTAGAAATAGCTTTAAGAGAAAAAATTGGTAAACTGTTTTAGTACTCATACTGATTAGAGGAATATACTCTTGGTATAATAGAAGCCTTCGACTCTTCTTCTGAAAAAAATATACTAGAAAAGATTATGGAAAGCATATATTTTAAGACGCCATTGACTTGCTCAAAGCTGATTCTTTTCTTGGCAGCGTTTTATTTAAAGAGCATTTATTTCATTTGTCAGTAGCGTTGTTCACTCGAGATAATTTTGATTGTCCCGCGCAGTAAACGCAGTTTAGTTACTTCACTTTTTTAGAAGCCAAACTAAAACCAGTGTTGTATAAATCAGCATTAGAGGCAGATGTATTCAATATTAAATCATTACGCTTATGGAATACTAAAAAAAAGTAATTGCCATAGGGGAATCCTATCACAAAGAGGTTGATTTTTTTTAATGATTTTTTTCACCAGTCATATTTGTATAACATTAAATTGTAAATCTAAAACTGAACTGTCTTTACAACTGTCTCATCCTTAGTGCTATTTTTTAAAACATTTCAACCCAAGCAAGACGGAAGTTCCACTAGCACGCAAGGGGTTACAGAAAGTGGGGGCAAGAGTAAAGAGGCGTGAGAGAGGAAAGGATGAAGAGAAGGACGGCGAATGAGATCAAGGCATCAAAAGATGTCGATTGACATTGCATTTGAATATTTGGAGATTATAGCTATCAGGGGAGCAAGTATGAGTTCCACAGATAGGAAGTGCGAGACATGAAGCGATTGGAGTAGAATAGACGGTTATATTTAACCGTTTCGACAGTGGAAGGGTGGGACTGAGATGCCAACCTAGTAGCACGTTTAAATTCGAGCAGTTTGGAAACCAGCGAAAGTAGCTCGTGGGAGCAGGTGAATAATTTGTCTGTTAGATTTTTCTTTTATGAGAGATCTAGATTAGAAAATATTGGCTATGCTCACTATTGCTTTTACTATCTCTACAAAAGTATAAATGGAGGTGTATAGTTGAGTAGAGAGAGAAAAAGAGAGAGTGAGGGAAAGAGAGAGATAAAGAGAGAAAGAAAGAGAGAGGGAGGTGGACAAAGAGAAAGAAAGAAAGACAAAGAAAGAAAAAGACAAAGAAAAAAAGATAAAAAAAGAGAAACAAAGAAAGAAAAACAAACAAAGTAAGAAAGACAAAGAAAGAAAGAAAGAAAGAAAGAAAGAAAGAAAGAAAGAAAGAAAGAAAGAAAGAGACAAAGAGAAAAGTTCAATGCCGCATTTAAATTTTATAGCGTTTGGAGTAAAGTTTCGTTCATTGCAAAAATTTGAGCAGTTGTAAAATAAGAACTATTCAACGGATAGGCAATGATTAGATTAAGAATAATCTACCCTCGTAGATTGAATAAAGGGTCCTGTTCGAAATTCTCATAAGTTATTCGGATAGGAAGTGCGAGAAAGGAAACTGTTGGAGTAGCAGCAGTAATTGAACGAATACATTACAGATCGTTCTTTGGATTTTGTCAAGAATCTCTAAATGTGCAGCAGGAGCACCAGACCAGATATGGCAACAGTATTCAATACACGGACGAATGGTAGACTTATAAATGTGCAAGATGGACCCTGACAGAAAAGATTTTCTGGCACGACACATTGAGCCAACTTTCCTAGCAGTAGATGCAGCTATTGATTCGATGTAGTCGCTCCGTGAGGCCGATAAGGGTCAGGGTGGTACTCCTCGGAAGTCTAGAATCAGTCATGCTTATGGCAAGCAGAAAAGGTTCTCTGTGGTGGATATATTCGCGTTCATTCGTAGTTTGTAAATTTGTTTATTATTTACATAATTTTTTATTTATTTAGATTTTGGGTGGAGGCTTGGTTGTTTTATTTGTTTAGTTTAATTTATTAGCTTTATCTAAATACACCCTTGTGCAAATTAATTGAAAAAAATGCTTTAGTTTCCTTTCTTTCACCATGCGTGAGTCACAGAGTGTAACTGATTTCTATTTTTTCCTCAGATTAGGTCATTTACGGTAGTGTGCAGTAATATGAATCTATTTTCGGGGTGTATAATGAAATTTTGGGGGCCTTGAAAAATATTGCGTCATCCGTGATTGCATCAGATTTTTATCACGCCCAGACATATTTGTCTCGACTGTCGATTAATTGTCCTACAGCCATTGTCTGCGATGGACGTTAAACGCTGTAAAAACACACTGGCAAGCCTTACCAGTGAGCAAATCAAAGTACTATAGACTGGCCCGGAAATTCTTTTGATTTAATTCGAATCGAGAATCTGTGGTTTAATTTCTAAGGAACGGCTTTGTGGAATGGACATACAAAGTATTAACATATGCACTGGTCCATGTTTCATTGGAAAAATATGAAATAAAGTAAATTATTATATGCTTTGTTTCAATTAATTTGCATAATGGTGTACATCTAAGCATTGACCAAAACATTTGGATTAGAAAAGACAAAATGATGATACAAAGCGAAATATTTGATGAAATTTTAGCAATGCTTTCACTTGAAATTTCAAACAACATTCACCATGCTTATTTAACTTAAAAACAATCATTTTTAGGCGTATTGTATTTGGCTTTCCCATTAACGTATTTTAGCTTTCCCCTCACCATTTTAGCTTTTTAACGCAACATTTATTCAGTGAGTAGGCAGCACAAGATAGGAGATACAGGACCAGCCCTTTGCGAGATTCGAACTCACTTCCATGATTAAATATACCAACGACCTTAACGCTAATCTGCAAGAAGCTAACCACATTAAAGAAGACAAAATCTAACTTACATTACACGATCTTTCTCAACGCCATATTTGTTTTACTTAAGTCGTATGAATAATAGAAACATTTCCTTTATTTTATTTTCATTTAGATGAAGCTTTGCCAACCATTAGATTCCCTTTGACTGGCGTTTATTTTCAGTTTGTTTGGTATTCTAATTTTTGTTCAAGTCTTCAATTTACGACAGTAAACGGAGCAGGATCGGTAAAATGATGACATCGATTACCAATCAAATAAAAGGTAAGATGAAAGTAAATATTTGTAAAATATAAATATAACGAACTGAAAATCAGGCAGCCAGGTAGGATTTTATTCTTGTTCTCTATTGAAAGCATAAATGAGACTTTGACTCCACTAAGAAATCATATATTTGAACTCTATATAAATTGAATATATTTATCAATCAGTTTCATCACCCTGATTTAAATGAAAAATCTGGGAAATTTAAAAAATGATTCCAGTATTTTTTTTTTTTTTTTTACATTTCTTTAAATTGATTTTTTTATTTGATATAAAAATATTAAAATCTGAACAATTCGCAATTCTTTTTTGTGAAATCACGCCCACAACATGGAATCATTATTTAATCTTCAGGAGGTTTATTTTAGATTGACAATATTTTTTATTGAAGTCCTCTTCATTTGCAAGAAATCTTATTGCGTAAACAAATTATAAAGTTATGCGTCCTACTTTTCATTGCGGTAGTAAATACATCCATATACCCAGTTCATGATTTTGTGAGTACATACGAGTTGATAATCATCAAAGACTGGTTAACGATGATGACAACCCGGGGACAATTGTTCACAATACAAATACGAACATAAAAAACACGAACTTTGATTTTCCAGTGACCGAAAGAAATTCATAGAAAACAATCATAGCTTTAGTTTCTGTGAAATCTCTAAAACTTAAAGATTCGGTTTAGTTCACCAGACGGACACAAAGTAACGGTATAATTGAATTTTAAAGTCATACATTATTTTTCCTTTAGAACTTTAGGAATTTTTAAAACTTAATGCACTATAAACAAGTACAGAGGTTAAATTACTAGTTATAAAGTCATTTTAGTAAGGTCTAAGAAAGATACAAGAAAAAGAATTACGTAAAAGAATTACTTCTTCACATCCGGATTTCGTCAAATTAGCGCCGTTCGTAGAGGGTAGGTAGTTTTGGAGGCTTAGAACGTTCGATCTTCTTCCTGCGAGAAATCTACCTTCCTTCTTCGTGATCGGGTCTTTATATTCCTTCCTGAAATCCCTTCTTGAGGTGGGTATATATCCTAAGTTCAGTTAAATTTAGTTCTAGTTTTATGTTGTCGCGGCTTTCAACGTCCTTCGAGGCTTGATTCTGCCCTTTCTCTTTTGATATTCTGATGTTAAACCGAGTACAAAGTTTACTTTAGTATCACTTAGGGTGAGCCCAGTCCATATCGCGATTGCCACAGATCAACTCCTCTGAGAATAAAAATTCTGGATGGAGATTAAAGTCTATTCAGATATCTGATATGTCTTGATGAAAATAAAGTACATCTTAACTTGATAGCCATAACTGTAGCCATCCTTGAGTTATGTGATGACAAGTCAGACAGAAAAAAATATATTTGGTGAGATGGTTGAAAATATTTTATTTAATAAGATAAAAATAATAAAAAAAATAATACGGCTACTGCTCATAGCATAAAACAATTTTATGATACCCCAAATAAAATAAATATTTAGATCATCCCATGACTTAGTATTTTGTCCTGGGTTCTTTAGAGCATAATTCGGTGTATTACTCTCAGATTTTGATGAAGTCAGTTTAGGTGTGAAACAGTCGTGCCACAAAAAAATGTCATGCAAGATTTTTAGCTGCAGAATAATATATCGTTATTATCCCTTCAATATTTGTTCTCTTCATTCTCATAATTGAAATTATCCAAGATTTACTTTCAAAGTCACGCGATATGTAGATCGAATATTGAGATATTTTAACGGGAATGGCGTTGACTGGTCATGGATTAAGTACTGTATGTGCGCTTAGAAAAGCGAGAGAGAGGGGGTGAGGGAGAGAGGAAGAAGGAGAGAGGGAGGAAGAGATGGAAAAGCGAGAGAGAGAGGGTGGGGAGAGAGGAAGAGAGGGGGTGAGGGAGAGAGGAAGAGGGAGAGAGGGAGAAAGAGATGGAAAAGCGAGAGAGAGAGGGTGGGGAGAGAGGAAGAGGGGGGAAGAGGGAGGAAGAGATGGAAAGAAATGGAGAGAGAGAAGGATAAAGGTAAAGAGAGAGGGAGAGAAAAGGAGAAAGAGAGTGGGAGAGAGGGGGAGACACGTATAGAGAGAGAGGGAGGAAGAGAGAGAGAGGGATGAAGAGAGGGGGAGAAGGAGAGTGTGGTAAAGAGAGGGGTAAAGGTAAGGCGATAGGTAGAGAAAGGGAGAAAGACAGAGGAAGAGGGAGAGAGGCGTATAGAGGGGAGGGGAGATAGGGAGGAGAGAGATAGGGGGAGAGGGAGAGTGGCGTATAGAGAGAGAGGGAGAAAGGGAGGAAGACAGGGAGGGAGAGAGGGAGGGAGAGAGAAGGAGGAAGAGGGAGAGAGAGAGGGGGCGGGAAACGCTAGTCTCCTAAATTGTTTGCATAACATTCACGTGAAAATGTGTTCCAGAAATGTATAATAGTTTCGCATCTGAACAGAAAAACAAAAAACGATTAATCCGAGTGCTACAGATAGTGTGAAACAGTCTAAAAGTGTTGCTATTTATTAGTGATGAAACCTCGGACCTTTCTGGGGGTCAATAGTAAACATCTATGCAAGTGATACCACTTTTTATGGACACACTTCCAAAAAGAAATTATCGAAGTCTTGCAACTGATCTCTCCTATGATCTTGCTCCCACAGCTCAAGGAGGAAAATAACTGATTTATTACTTTCATTAAGGGCTTACAGTTTTATCACGTTGAAACACTTGTTCCCGTACGATCACTGAAGTTAAACAACATCAACCCTGGTCACTACCTAGATGGGTGACCGCTTGAGAATACCAGATGCTGTAAGATTGTGCGGGTGGTGAAATGGATAATGATTCGGAATTGGAAATCGGAGAGCTGAGTTCTAATTCCAGTTGGGTTCGTTACTCACTTATGCGCAAATACCCTTGGGAAATACCGTTCTCCCTTCAGCTATGGGTTGATTAGTAAGACTTGTGTCAGTAAATTATTATTATCTCAAAAAAATACTTACAGTCTAAAAATATTTCCTGGCTTGAAATAACTCGCACAGAATTGATAACCACCATATTTCTCAGATATCAACCCTCCCCTTAAAAAATCAAATGCCACGTGAAAGTAATAAAATTTCAATTTTTCGCGTGGCATTTTTAGACATTTATTTTCAAATTCTTATATTGGAAACAAAAATTATACGTAAAAACTATATTCACATATGAACATTTATCGGCAAATTATATTGTAAACAGGTGTTATTTACATTATTCGGATTGTTATCCTCATCTTCATTGCCATATTCACAACGTTTCGGCCGTTGTATGCTACGGGCTTCTTCAGGTGATTTTCGAACCGAACCCTTTATTTCGTTCACCGGGGTAGATTGTCCTAGTTCCCCGTGTCATGCCTCTTCCAGATTCTCAGTTATTTCCCTTAAACTTAACTCTCCAAGTTTCGGTTCGCCACTGCTGTGGTCTGGTAATGAACTCAAAACTCATTGGGTCTAGTCAAGGACACATGGCCCAGTGGATAAAGACATTGCTTATATCCAGCGACTAGGTGCACAGCTACAAAAAATCATTTAAGATTGTCGTTTCATAGGTCGATTTCAGTTGCGAAACACCACAAACATACGACAATTTGACATTAACATTCGGCGATTACGACCCCATAAGGATGTCTAATACAATCATATGTACCTAACAATAGTTACAAATATAAGATAAAATAAGAATTATCATAAAACTAAATTAGAATAATATTATTCTATGTTTAAAACCATTTTTAATAAGAGTAGGAAACGCTGGCCGTAATGAAATTGTTGAGGTACGATTTATAGGGTTTGATTACCAAACAAGGGGTGCGTATTATGCGTGAGTAGAAGCATTTTCCTAGAATTTCAGCACAATTTTAGGGGCGCGTATTATGGATGAAGACGTATTATATATGGAGAATTACGGTAATTTTGCTCACAAATTGATTTCAAAATTTTACTATTTCAAGAATAAATCCAGAAATTTTTACTGTATTCGATGAGTAAAAAGTGTGTAAAAATTGTAAAAAAATTGCAAAAATGGCTACTCAATAAATAAGATCTTACAACATCTGTTAAGTGATAATTAATTTTTAAAAAAATAGGTTAGTGTATATAACACCATAATACTGCTAGGTACAAATTATAAGACAAAATGTTTAACATTTGGAGTGTTCATTGAAATAAAATAACTAAATAGTTCTGTATAATTTCCATTTGAAGTAAATGAAGTTTATTTTGGTGGCATAATCAGTTAGTAATAATGTTCTTGTGCCTTAAACAATTTGTGGAGATTAAGAGGTTATAAATTTTATAAGGCTGTGCTATAAGGCTTTCACTGATCACCAGAAGTTCAAAGCTAGGAGTTTAAACCTAAATTTAATCTTTAAACTCTTTTCTTCAAAAAATGCCTCATTCAAGCTGTTAATCAGGCCAGATGTTGCGTTCTCTCCCAGAAATTGTAGGTCCCATCTGTATAATTGCAGTTTAAACCGCATGTTCTTGCTTAATATGAATATTTTAAATTTGTTTTCTATATGAACAAATGCCCATCAATGAATTTGACCCTCATGCTTGTTCTAATTTTCACGAATTTCCTCCCAAACATTTCAAAATAGAGCCAATTTCATCAATAATCAAGTTAAATTCTTTAAAAACTCCAACATCTATTGATAGACGAAATATGTAGAGGACTTTTAGAATCGTTGTTATGAGAGAAACAAATCTCCTTTATACTTCCGGTTGGTACATTATTTACATTATTCGAACTATTGTCCTCATCTTTGTCGCCATATTTATTACAACCTTTCAGCCGTTGTATGCTCCTTCTTTCTTCTTCATTTCGCTCACTGGGGCAGACTGTTCTAGTTCCACGTGCCATGTTTTAATAGATATCAGTTATCTCCTGTTAATTCCCCTCTACAAGTTCTCCACTGCCTTAACCGGGTATTGAACTCACACTCTTTGGGTCCTGTCACTGGATCTAACCAACGCCTTTATCCACTGTGCTATGTGTTCTTGAGAACCCGAAACGTTGTAATAAATATAGCGACAAAGATGAGGACAATAGTCCGAATAATGTAAATAGTGTACATAATACCTCATCTCAGGTATATAGACAGATATTGATTTCCGGTTGGATTCTGCTTAATTATATTTTTTAAAATTTATTTTGTGAATCTTTCCTTTCGTACGAAAAATTAATTTACCAATTTTCGTATTTGGCTGCAAGATAGAACACGACGATTATGAATTCATTTTTCAACATGTCTATTTTCAACTTTCTCCCTTTTGAGATCGATTTCTCATATATACTTCAGTTTGTTTTTTCTTTCTTTTCAGATTTCTTGAGAATTTCATTCTCTTTTGTTTCCATCTTTTATTTTCCACCTCAGGGAATGGAACTGCTATGTTCCTTCTGATTTGGTCGCTATAAAAATTTCGCTTTCAGCAAACAGAAAATCTCTTCATTGTCATTGATTCAGCATCTCAACAAAAATGGCGATAGGAGACTAAAAATAAACAATCTAATCAAGACAGAATTACTCAGCATATTTATAACCAGATGCAAAACACTGCACAAAGCACTTGCCATCCGACTTAATTGGCCTGACTATAATGGAAATGCCCCAGGACTTCACCCACCTAAATATTAGAAAGAAGGTCCCGTAGCTTTTTTGATATGATTATTTTCATGGTACTATCCAATACTTACGTTAAAAAATATTAATTTTTACGTTTTGCGGTTTGTTTTACTTTTTTTTGCAGAGGACTTAATATCAGAGAGGGTAAATTATGCATCGATTTTATCCGATTCAAATAGGTTTAAATCAGCCACTGTTAGTTGTATAAATTTAAAAAAAGAAACAGAATCTTCAGGAACGGAAGCAGCTAGAAATATTCATTGTTTCAATAGAAATGGAACTTTAAGTATCTAGACACGCCAAAGATAGAGCGGTAAGTTCCAGTCGGGAAAGCGTTCTCTCAAAGACCTGGACGAACAAGTTCTACCAACGATTCGTTTCTGCAGATCACATTAAAATAAAAAGCATCGAAATTAGAAATATACATTACACATTGATTATGAAATATGTTCATCAATTCAGAAAAGTTTTGAAATTTGCTCACTGGATACCGAACCATTCCACGGCTTTTCAATTATACTCCTAGCCTCATTTGAAAAGTAAGACATTCTACCGAATATTTCCTGGGTAGAATCATTTCTTGATTTGGTTTCGTTTGGTTTACGGAATGTCAACCTCATTGGATTATTTAATGCCGACAATTTTTTTGCTGGTTTTTTTTTTTCAAAAATGTATTGCTGGCAATATTTTTTTCTTAAAAATTATTATTCTGGTAATGTTGTTTTCAAAAAAATGTATTAATTGTAATATTTTTTTTTTAAATTGTATTACCGGTAATATTTTTTTTCAAACATGTATAACTGGTAATATTTTTTTTTCAAAAATGTATTGCTGGTAATACTTTTTTTTCAAGCATGTATAGCTGGTAATATTTTTTTAAATGTATTGCTGGTAATATTTTTTCTTTAAAGATTTATTGCTGGTAATAATTTTTACAAAGTATTTCTGGTATTAAAACCTATTTTTACACTTTCATAGCGTTTGACCCCAGTTTGGGGATTAAATATTTGCCAATAGCTGGGACCCTAAAAGATGCAACTACCCTATAGTGAAATTACTAACAATACATTTTTATTAAAAAAATACTAACAATATATCTTTATAGCAAAATTACCAACAATATGGTCTGTCTATATTTCTGAGATGAGGTATTATGTACATTATTTATATTATTCGGACTTTTGTTCTCATCTTTGTTGCCATATTTATTACACCGTTTCGGCCTTTCAGTACCTGTCTGTATTTCAAAGATGAGATATTATGTACATTATTTACATTATTCGGACTATTGTCCTCATCTTTGTCGCCATATTTATTTCAACGTTTCGGCCGTTGTACGCTCCGGCCTTCTTTAGGTTGTTGGAATGTCGAACTGAACTGAACCGTCAAGGACACATGGCGCTGTGAATAAAGGCGTTAGTTAGATCCAGTGACAGGACCCAAAGAGTGTGAGTTCAATACCTGGTTAAGGTAGTGGAGAACTTTCAGAGGGAAATTAACAGGAGATAACTGATAACTGACATCCATTAAATGTGCCACGTGGAACTAGAACAGTCTACCCCAGTGAGCGAAATGAAAGGTTTCAGTTCGACATTCCAAGCACCTGAAGAAGGCCGGAGCGTACAACAGCCGAAACGTTGTAATAAATATAACGACAAAGGTGATAACAATAGTCCGTATAATATAAATAATGTACAACAATACATTTTATAGTAAAATTGAAGACATGGTATACGTTGTCAAAATAACACATTAAAACTATTCGCAATAATTAATCTTTTTTCTTGTAATGAGAAACAAGTTTTCCCTCCTTGTTTAATAAAGGTTTATAGTTGTTTTCTAAGCGTAGCATAGATTTGGCATAAGGCCGAAAGTATAGGGCCCCAAGTGAGGATCGAACTCACTATTTTGTTGTAATCTAGCGAGACAAGGGCGATAACCATTACAACATGTCGAAGTGCCGAAATATCGATTGATATGCTTCTAAAAAAACAGCCAATACCAACCAATCATTCCTCGTTTGATTTTGTACGATTATTTGCTAAAAAAAATGCAGCTAAGTAATTATAATTTAATCATGAAATAATATCATTCTCTTGAATTATAAAGTTTGAATTTTCGGTATTAAATAACACATACGAATTGATGAGCCG